TGATAAATCCTGCCAGTTTGGAACACCACACTGATATCTACATAAAAACAGTATAAAAACTCTTCAATAACGTCTATTAATATCGACGTTTTGGTAAACTAGCAACTGATTGATATAAAACAAAGTTACGAACGTTTTTGACGCGATAAACACTGTTTTTCGACATGTATATAGTTCCAACACCCAGGTACTGAAACGAATAAAGACTTTTAGTTTGGCGGCCCGCCAAAGAACATGGCATGAAAATGCAAATATGTCTATTTATTTAGGAATCGATATTAATTTGTCATTTGTGTTTACGTTACGTTAAAGTAACTACAGAATTATAGGTATACACAAAATTTATTCATCTGCTGACATTGAATATTTCGTTTTGTTTGTATACTTAGTACATTTCATAGTAAGTAAAAAAAAAATTCTTTGTACTTACGATACAAGATAACACTGTAAGCCAAATCTAGCTTATTTTCAATGAATTTTTCGATACAGTCTTTTAGAATCGTTAGGGCAACTAGTACATATATAGGTGCCTACTAAATGAACTCTATTCATCTAGCAAATAAATTTTATTTGAAATCAAATGATATTAAATTATAATTATTGTAACAGATGCAAAGAAAATCGTCTATGCTATAGTAATAAAATTTTAATAAATATTTTAGTACAGAGGCTTATTATACTAATGTGCATGCACACTATTAATTAATCAATTAATTAATATTAATACTTAAGCTAATGGAGACTATGTTAGTTTCCATCATGGAATCGCGGGTTGCTTTGATTGATTAATGGATGTCTTAGAAACCCAGAAGTACGTTACATCAAAATAAATATAATTATCATAAATGTGGATTACAGAGAGGGCTCATGTCTCAAAATTGGGCAAAATATATTTAAGGTGCCTCGATTTTTTTTTATTGCAGTAATTATTATGAGCTCTAGCCTATTGCAACAGAAATAACCTACGACTTAAACAGATAGACTTTTAATATTGTTTACTGTAAAACACTCCTAATAATTACATATTTTGATAAAGGCACATGGGGTACCTATGAAGTTAGGATACTTAAGTTTCCAACTTTTTACCTTGAAAACGGTCATCCTCATCATTATCATCATAGGACGCAAACTGCTGACCATAGGCCTCCCCCAATGACTTCTGCATAACCATCAACCGTCCGTTGTAAGCAACCTGCATCCAGCAGCTCCCTACGACCTTAATCAGGTCGTTTGTCTGAAAACTGTCAAGCAATATATACATACATAACACCACGCCTTTTATCCCCGAAAGGGTAGGCAGAGGTGCACATTATGCCACTGTACAATGTAACACCCACTTTTCACTATTTATGTTATGAGTTCCATGTAATAGGGGTGAGCCTATTGCCATATACCGGGCACAATTCCAGACTCCGTGCTACTACTGACAATTTTTAAAAACCCCAGTAATACTTTGCCCGACCCGGGAATCGAACCCGGGACCACTTGCCCGGCAGTCGCACTTGCAACCACTCGGCCAACGAGGCAGTCCTACGAGGCAGGTGAAAAGTAATATATGACGCATTAATCCTAAACGCAACTATTCCTAAAACAATACGTAAGTATATAAATACTATTATTAGCATAATTGCCTTCCGATAGAACGTCATGATCACTATAAGAAAATTAGTTGTTACCCACATTTTGCTACAAAATAGAACGTTACGTATTTAGACACAGTTTCAAAGCATTACCTAGGTAGGTAGGTAGGTACATGTTTTTGTGATGTCACGCGTGGCGAGCGGATGAAATTTTAATGCGCGTAACGCAGCCATTAAATGTTTTAACGTCATGAAGTTGTTGAAAAGGAAATTATAAATGCTAACACGATAGACGACTGACGAGTGCAGTGCATTAGCTAATTGATTATTTTTCTGAGTCCGTTTACCATTATAATATATTAACCCCTCGAGCGTCCGCGTGCCTTATGATCCAACGGGTGCACACGTGACATTTGGAGAAAGAAAGAAATAAAGAAAGAAAATGCATTTATTTGGCCATTATCACACGAAAACAAGGAGCATTACAATAGAAATAAAAAATACAGTCAAAATAAAAACAAAACATTAATAATAAATTTTATAAAAGAGAAAGCAGCATGGAGGATTTTTTCTTATGATCCACCGGGTGCTCATAAGGACGCTCGAGGGGTTAATCCTTAAAGTCCAAGACACAGTCGATAGATGCGTTTGCGATTAGTTGATTATACCTGCTAACGAATACGTGGCATAATAGTGTTAACTGGTTTCACATTATTTATTACTCTGCTCTTAGTTTGTGAGTTTCTGCCCAGTCCTCAAGTGGCCACCCGTGACCGCTATGCATTTACTCCATTATCCTTACTAATATTATAAATCGGAAAGTGAGTTTCTTTGTTTGTTTGTTCCACTTTCACGCCGTAACTACTAAACCGATTGCTTTGAATTTTTGCAGACGTGAAGTTAGAAGTCTGGATTAAATAATAGGGTACTTTTTATCCAGGAAAAATTTGATATTCTCGAGGAAAAACGATTTTATTGGTATAGATGGCGCTGTGTAGATGGCGCTGTGTATTGGTATATGTCACATAGGCTACTTTTTATCCTTTTTTGACGCGAGCGAAGCCGCGGGTAAAAGCTAGTACCTCTATAATAATATACTGTTTCTGATATTTTGAAACTACTTTTGTATGACCAAATTATGTGATTTTTTCATAATCGGGGATTAAGAAGTTAAAGAGTTGGTCGGCAATCTATATTTAACCATAGTGTGCGAACTGAAAATAATTGTGTTATTTAGTTTGAGTTCTTACAAGAACAACATAAAACTTATAGGTACATACCCTTGTACCCTATTTTCTTAATTTGTTCCTGGATATACTGTCTCAAATTGGTGTACAATAAAGATTATTATTTATTTATTTGTACCTACCATATGTTTCACTTCCCAGACGCTATGAAGTTTACGGATACGGATAGTTTTTCAATAGCCCAGACACTAGCCTGACTCCCACATAAAAATTAATTCTTATCTAAAATACTACGTTTCGGTAGAACTTTATTTATTATTTGTACACATAGATTATATCTACCACATACTTTATTTTATGACAAACTTTGTAACACATTTAAGGTATTCGTACGTTGTTAGATTTTTTTATTAATTTTAGAGATATACCTAGAGGTATATGGTTTAACGGTATGTAAATTAAATAAAATTATACATATATCTAGGTACATACATTAAATGCTATAAAAAAAAATAACAATAAGTAATATAAAATATTACATAACTAAAGGAACTGAATTCAAGCCTTCATTTGTCCGATTATTTCATAAAACAAAATTGAAACAATTCTAAAATTATATTCAGTGAACAGATATAGGCTCGTACTACGTCTGCCTACCCTTTTTTGTATAAAAATCATGAGGTTACATTTAATTTTTAATATTGAAGGAGCGCGCCGACATTAGTTTGAATATTTTCTATATATAAGTACTTAAGAATAAGTTTTTTGCGAAAATGAAATATTTGAGTGTGTTTGAACATGAAAATATCATTAAAAAATTAATAAAAAATAATTAGTACAAAACCATGAAAACGAACCAAGGCTTAGACACACGATTTTTTTCGGGCCAAAAAATAAAATGTGAGATAGGAGCCTGAAATTTTGCACAGGGTACGGAAATGGGTTCGTGCATCACCTACTGACCCCTTTTCGAAATAAGAAGCGTGATGTTACGAGTAATTTTGATCATTAATTTTTGAGTACGTTTATCTCTGAATCTAATAGTCGTATTTGAAAAAATCTTTTTTTATACAATAGCCACATTCTTGAGGAAGTATACTGGATGTCTAACATCACGCTACGACACTCAGGAGTAGAGCAAGGGGAGCTAAACTCCGGAAGGGTAATTTTATCAAAAAATGGGAGATATTGCGAATATTTTTGAAACATTTATATTTTCCCGAGTTTCTGCATTTAATACCTTTCATAAAAATGTAAAAAATCAATGATATTAAGCAAAATTTAAAAAATATAAATGTTGAAATAATGCCTTATTCGTTTCAAATAAGCGTGTATTTTGTCGTTAAACGTGGATTTATGTCTTTTTAACCGGTATTTACGGAGATAATAAAATACAAGAATCATCAAAAAAGTGCATTGGTGCGACATCTATTTTGTTAATTGAAACTTATTAGTTATCACGCACACTATAGATGACGCTACGTTATGAAATGATTATAGCTATATACCATAGATGGTGCTTTCTTAGAGGTTTAAGCGATTTGAAAACAGATGGCACTATACGAAGCACACAGTACTTAGTAAATACTGGGTATTTATCCACCTTTTTAGATAAATAATTCAGTGCAAATGGTAAATATTCAGTATTTACTCGGTATTTATGTATTTTGAGTATTTATCCGAAAAATCGCCCGTACAAAGCTACAAACGGTTAACACAATCATGTTACGAAAATTACATAGAGTGCCATGTATATTGGCAGTTCCCACAGCGACTCATAGGTGGCGCTCGCGTAAGCTATTAATTAAGGATTGTTATTTTTCATGATGATTTAATGATTTAATCCATTTCTTTTTCTGTAAATTATACCTATCTTTGTACGAGTGCATAGTAATGTACAATAATTATATTGCTATTGTCTACGTAGTTGTTTAGTTTGATTGTTTGGTCTAGACTACAGCACACATATTTTCAATACGTTATCGACTTTATAACAAAACGATAAGGTTTAAAAACGTATTCATGATTTTTATCGATCAGGGTACTTAAGCCAACAAGGGGGACCAATGACGCCAGTCGTGTGCTTTTTTAAAGGTTATTTTTAATTAAAAACCATAAAGATATCTAAATATGTGAATTGTTAGTAAACACAATATTTTAGACAGGTTCTAAAATCAATAGAATGTTGAATTGAGACACAATTAACTAAATATATTTTTCTTGTTTGTTACAGTTGGATGACGCAACGCTCCAAGTGTTTAAAGACGGCGACTATGGACCTTATTTGGACCTGGACTCAACGCTGGGCGAGCAAGAAGAGGAACTGGAAGGTCTGCAGGACAGGTGAGCAAAATGCTGAATTACGTATTCGCACTAAGTGTTCGCTAAAGAAAAGAGCCTAAGTGTGATAATCCCTTGCATCTTGTGGGTGCCGGTTATATCTATCAGGCAGGAGATAAGTATAACCGGTTCCTGTAATTATATAGTTCCAATGTATGGCCTGTAATCTTTGTTATTAATACCCCAAAGTATAACAATGTACGAACATGTACTGCTCTTCCAATCTAAGGAGATTGATGATGAGGAGCAATGGCTCACATAGGTACAGACAATTATAATTAAACCTATTTCAAGGTACAATGTCAAACTGGAATCCCGACGCCCTATGGTTGACGAAAAAAACAACGCAGTTTGATTTGTATAAATTATTAAATGATACTATACTTTATAGTTTAAACGAGATGCGTCGTTGGTCCCTCGCTGCCAGTTATTGCTTTCTTCCGGTAGTATTCCCCTTCAGTTCCCATATGAGTTAATATCCACTAAATCTACCATCCATTGAGATGGCTGATTTAGTTAAGATTTTTAGTAATTTCACGAAATAAATGGGATTTACTTCACTAACGTGCACAAATTGTATAGGTACAAGGTAGGTACCTAGTTTTTCTTTTCTACCCTAACTTCAGTGGTCAAAGCCCTTTCAACATTTGCTCAGATTTTTGCTGTTTTTTAATTTTTAAAAATCAGCTCTAAACCCTTAATCAAAAAAAACTGACTAAATACTTCATCATTTTCATATGAAATCTCAACCGTACATAATTTGAGTAACTTAACTAATACTATGCATTATACGTGTAGTGTATCCGAACACAGATAAACATACTGTATATCCTTTCTTTAACGAAATGCAAACTACAAAATATATGCATATTTAAGTTCTTAACACCTTTTTGCAAAGCTGACGTCAACCTTAAGGCATTCCTAAACTTAACTGACTAATAAACTTTTATCATCACATTCTTATAATAATGATACTCGTATTGAAAGTTGAACGGGAGTAAAATTACAAAAAGGTTCCAAATGATTATTTTATTCAAGTCGATTGAATGCTATATCCTGCGTAACGATTGGCAAGGAACTGCAAATGCAGGGGTCAGTAATTTGAAAGTTAATGAATGACAATGATTTTGTCTTCCTCGTGTTGACGACTGTCCCGTTCATCGAGTGGTTGCATCGTTGACTGATGATTACGAGGTCTGGTTTAACCGTTTAACCCAATTCCATGATCAAACGAATATAGATTCAACTGTAATCTAGAATCTTGTTCAGTCATTTATTCGACGGATTTCATAAGTTCATCAACAGCCTGTTCTCGTCCACTGTTAGATATGGGCATCTCCAATGGTACGCTGCTGAGCTCGATCTTCACCTCTACTCATCTAACCACTACCAGCCACTTTGCTGATACGCGTTATATATTAAAAATAAGGTTTCAGCAAATTGTCCAATTCTTTTCAACATTACCGTTAACTTTTTGACAACAATCAGTAAATTCTAAGTACGTAGGTACTTCTAAGGTACAAAGGTGTAGACCTTAGGTACACCAACCTATGTTTGCATCATAAATACATCGATGAGAAATGTTCAATGTATAAGTTTGACGCAAATATGTACTCTGTTGAATGTCAGAATGTTCGAATAGCGTTTTTCAGTTGTCTGGTGGCCTGATCCAATGTACATATGTACCTAATTAGTGTATTGTGACAATAAACACAGGCATAGCTAGCTAGCACCGAACTCACGTTTCTAATAATCCCCTATTACTACTTTTTAAGAGAATTGAATTAGCAAACTAAACATACGTTTTAGGACTGACGCAGGTGACAGACACTAAATACTTTGGTGACAATTGTCACGTGGCGTGTGCCACGATTTACTGCCAATTTCTATAACATATCGTAATCCAAAATATGTGGATTAAGATCGATTTTTGATAGAAACTCCGTACAACTACTGCCAATAATCGATCTATATCGACAGATTTTGGATTAAGATAGTTTATTGAAATTAGCAGTAATTAGTAATATTTTTGTGTATATCCTACAGTCATCAACATGTCCACCACAAGAGGTCCACGGCTAAACATAGTCCGCCGTCAATGACTTCAAGATTGTTTGATTGGTATAGAAGAATCTAGATATATAACAATATGTCCAAATGTACATATATGTCAAAAGTAAGGAATGTCTTTCGATTGTTCTTAGATTTTAGGAAGTTGTAAAAAATATTTTAACAAATCAATTTATATCGCTAATTCAAAAAAGTTCACTGTATTGAGCTGGCACACATATCAAAGACACGCAAGCTGATATTGCATTCAGCCTTCCATGTACAGCCTACAAGTTACACACCGTTCTTACCGATAGCAATCGAAAAATAAAAGATAATATGAATATAACAGCTTTATCCCACGAAGTATAGGCATTGGGCAGAGCTGCACTTGCACGTGCTATAGTAATTTTTCACCATTTTTGACACTTATATAAGGGCAAACATTTTCCCATACATTGAAAACCTTCCAGGTAAAATGTTACTAGGTATAGACTATTCTGTTAATTACAATAATTGAAATTAATTAGGTACTGTGATTGAAGTCCAGCCTTAACACCCTAGGAAAGGACCACTCCATATGAAAATATACCTACAGTTTTGGGCATGTAACACAAACTATAGTGCAGGATGTATGTAACGCAGCAGCAATATTATACGATAAATAAAGTAACGTACGTAACGATACCAACACCACATGATATTGACAACGCATTTACTCCAAATTAGAGCATTAGAGAACGATAACTATATAATACTGACCGCAACCTACTTCCCAGGCAAAGGTCAGGAGAAAGAACTTTTAATAGTAATCAAGTTAAATAATGTTAGTATATTAATTATAGGTTTTAATTAATACATTGCCTCTATGTACCAAAGGTCGTCGCACCGTTTTCCATGGGATCAGAAATAGATCAGCACCGGATTCGACACATGTACATTTATTTGGGTTACTGTTACACTTGTAACCGGGTAAACGACTAGATTCGCGGTTTTATATGTACGAGAATGTAAATTTGATCTTTTTTTGTAATAGGGTTTTAATTATTAGACAGATCTTTTTATTTATTTATAGGAGGTAGGTACAGCCATTTACTGGTTTCAAAGGGTACATGAAGCACTGTAAAATCCTTCTTTTCATTTCTTAATCCTTAACATAAGGACGTCTGTGGCACCTGGCTGCTATAGTCTTTACACGCAGAATACACATACATTGACACGAAGGACATCTGTCGCGTGACGAGGCCCGTCATTACATACATTACACGATGACTAGCAGCAAAACAAAAAAGGTTTCTCATTTAAATATGGGCTACTCTGAATTTTTTTTACCCACTGTATCAATTAATAATGATTTTTTAAAAAGGGCACGTAACCTAACCAATTGCGTCTTGTATCAACACATCACATCAGTAACGTATTTATTTACAAGAAGAATTTATTAGTTTCTCGTCACCGTGTCATGTCATATACCGTCACTATAGAAAGTATGGGTATTAGCAGTGAGCGAAACCGCCTGTGTTTTGTTTAGCTACTGTTTTTTTCGATTCTGCTCAATCGCGATGAAGTCGAACGTCTACAAAAACTTGCTTTTCGTTTAAACAATGAACTTACACTGCGAAAACTCATGTACAGGGTGTAAATGTGTAACTTGGGATGAAGAAAACAAATTTTAGTTATTATCAACGCGATACCCTCAGTTCGCGTCGGGGAGCGATGAGAGACGCAAGCCCCACAAAGCTGACCTATAAAAACTAGACACAGTGATTTAAAAATAAGAACGCCGCGATCGAAATTCAAAATTGATTTAACGAATAATATTTAAATTAAATACGTGATTTCTTTTTATAATAAGTCTTAATTTTTTAAATATCATCAGTGCTAGTTACTTGTAAATTAAGTGCAGAATAAGTTAACAACAATAAAGAGCCGGCTGTATAGAATCGATGGGAGAAAAATGGAAGATAACTTGCGAAACTTCACACGATCCGACTTGGTCGAGGAAAATGCACATCTTGAAACTGCACCGATTTGTAAATTCAGACAAATATCATTAGATTCTGGTATAGCTGATGAAGAAGTGCCCGTTAAAGTGAATTTCAATCTGGACCTGGACTATGACATGTCGGAGGACGAAGACGATGACTTCTTCGATGAAGATATGTGAGTTTTAAAACTGACATAGATATATCCCTATCAAGTTTTCTCAATGATAAATATTAAATCCGCTGAAGTAATGTATTATTGATTGATTAAAATTATAGTGTATTACATTAAGTTTTGTGCACGACTTAAGTAACACTGCAAGGACAATAAAGTGTCTTAATATATTTTAAATTATGACGTCACTACTAGAAACCTCAAAATAAACTTAGTGTTTTTATTTCGGAAAATGCATTCAGTAAGAGGAAGCATTCATAGTTAAAGTATTTTGGCTGCATATTTTTTTAAACAATAAGTGGTTTATTAAATTTATTTTCAATAAATAAACATTCATCAACAGCCTATAAGTGTCCCCTTATAAGCAATGCCTCTTCTTACATGGAGAAGGTTTGAGCATTAATTGCCACGCTTGCTCATTGCGGGTTGGCGATTTCAAACTTATAATTAGAAATTATAAGTCCAGGTTTCCTCACGATGTTTTCCTTCACCATTTGTCAGTGGTGTCTAAACAATCTTAGAAAGTACATACATTTAACCCGGAAAAAATCACATTGGTACGTACCGTTGATAGGTTTTGAAGCCGCACCATCATGCATGAGACATGGGCGTTTAACCTTTGGGCCACCACGACAAACAACAAAAATAAACGTTATTATGCTTATTCTACAAGACTTATTCCTTTGGAATATTATGTTATTTTTCGCAATGAAATTAAGATTTAGTAAAAGAAGATAACTTCCGAAAAATAACTTGTATAGGTGCCCACTATTAGTAAATCTTTGCCTGGGTAGACTCAAAATAAATAAGCATTTATGTCAATTTCATTTTTAAAAGGCCGGCAACGCACCTGTGACAGCTATGGTGTTGCGGGTGACGGGTGTCAATGGGCGGCGCTGATCGCTTACCATCAGGTGATCCGTCGGCGCGTTTGCCTTCTATTCCATAAAAAAATTGAACTTTAATCCGTCAGTAGCTTCACTGAATGCTCAATCCAAATGGAGCACATGTACATTCGAGTGAAGAAGAACGAGCAAAAAGGTCCATTTGTTTCTCTTTTATTACTATATTAAACACAAAAGCCATTTACTTGATATAATATTATGTCAAACACAAATGCCTAGTTTCCTTTGAATTTCGTTTGTATGTTCTGTTTATACAAAGCGTTGTCAATCTGTCTATCAGTCAGTTCAAGACTATTTCAGATAGGTCCTAGTGTAGAGATTTCATTTTATATTTCCTTTTTCTTTTTTCCATATACAGGGATATTCAATGCCAAGTCACAAGTATATTCTAACTAAGTATAAAAATCATTACGTCTTTAATTAGGCCGTTATAAATTGAATTTTATTACAATTCATCGATATTTCCTATTTATTATTGTCGTTATAATGTTCTTATAGCCACCAATTAAAATTAAATTATTGCACATTAACTTAAATTATGTTATAAGATATATTGAGGCATTCCACGTAAATCGGACAACCAAAATCAAAAGTGGTGATGAAAGGAACATGGGCACTTTAGAACGAAAGTTGGACGTTCAACCAATAGAAATGAAATGTCATTTATTGATAAGTATTCGATGTCTAGATCACGTGAATATAAATTTTATTTTCATAAAGTATGATGTTGTTAAGATAATCCCACTTCAAATGTTGGTAATTGATGTTATGAAACTCTTAATATTTCCCCTTCAAAAACAAGTGCACACGTAGTTTTTTAATGGTATAATCATTGTTATACTTGAATTAATGTCGTAGTTGCCCGGAGGTTTAAGACGCTGGCTTCTCATGCATGAGAATGCGGGTTCGAAACCTACCAACGGCATGTACCAATGTGACTTTTTCCGAATTATATGTACTTTCTAAGATTATTTAGACACCACTGACAAACGGTGAAGGAAATTTATAATTATAAGTTTGTAATCGCCAACCCGCATTGAGCAAGCGTGGTGATTAATGCTCAAACCTTCTCCGTATGAGAAGAGGCTTTGCTCAGCAGTGGGCATTTAGAGGATGTTGATGATGATGATGATACTTGAATTAAAATATTAAACATAACATCTCTCCTTTTGTTCCCCGAAGGGGTACACATAGCTTACAATTCGTAGTATTTTTTCCAACTATGTTTCTTACCTTGAATAAACGCTTCATTCATTCATTCATTCATCATTCATTCATTATAAGAAACACTGACCATTTGCCTGTTACGTTAATATTTACAAAGAATAAGGACGAATTATAATATGTATTTCTTGAGTAATATGACTGATCCATGCTGCAGGGATTTATATTGCAATGTAATTTATGATTATGAAGACATTCAGATACAATGTAAATTGTTTATTGAATAAATGAAATGTAATGAAATCTATCTTTATGAATGTATTATTATTCACCACGCACAATTACAGACTTTGTTAGTGCTAGGTAATGCAGTTACACATTATAAGTAAACTAAAAACTACTATAACTTTCATCAACATTAACTATGACACATAATCCCATAATAACCGTAAAAAAATTAAATAAAGAAAACCAAAAGAACATAAGCACATAGAACAATAATTAAACTTACAGACTAATACATTTACACAAAACTATCCCGCCGTGCCCTCAGGGAAGTGATCGGCGATGGCGACCTCTCGCGTCCGGGCCTAGTGCAGGCCATGATGCGGAGCGAGGGGGACTGGGATGCCGTCTCCTCCTTTTGCGAAGCAGTCATGCTAGCTAAGGAGGAGGCGGGACGCGTGAGGCAGCGAAGCGCTGCCTCCTCGCAACACAGCTGTCGCGAAGGACACACCGGGCGTCGGGGATCGCGGGACGATTTCCGGCCACCGTAAGCGCGGGCCTGCGGACGGCGAGCATGGGTGGCTCCCCGTCCGACCAGAAACAGACCCGAGCGTACGGCTCGTCGCGTTCCGCGCGCGCCTCAAAGAGCCATCAGACCACCACAGATGGGGCCCAGTAGGGCCGATGCCGATTCGGAGTCGCGGAGAACCTAACGGGTAACCGGGGCTCCGGCTCGACGTGCAGGAGAAGGAACGGGGTGGTTTTTAGTCAGTAAGAGTCTGACACTCCCTTCCGCCTCACCCAGGCGGGAGCAGTCATTCGATGATTTTCCCCCCTTAAAAAAAAAAAATCCCTAATAAACGTAAATGGCTAATAAAATTGAAGGATGCCTAAACTAGTTATTATCAAATACTGGATACATAACAGCAGACTGTGTGCAACACTAAGGATATTAAAGTAAAAAAAATCTTCAAAAAGACTACACCTAACTAAATGAAACTTAATATTTCTTATTTTCTTCTTTTCAGTCGCAAAAATGCCCTGGTCCTTCGCACTCAATTATCTGTTCGCGTCCACGCAATCATTGGTAAGTTTTCCGACCACGTAATATACACCAACATAGTTATGTACATAGCTTCTTACCTGTTAGTCTTTGAAGCCAGCAGGTGCAGGTACATGCATTACAGGAGGTACCATGTACTTATATCGCGTAGAGACCGTACCTATAACAGGCATAATTGCAAACTCCACTGAGAATTATTTGAAGATCCGAAAACTACGTAATAATTAGTATTATCGGACATTGATCTGCCAGTCTCGGTAGTTTATCTAAATAAAGTTTTTCTCATCATTCACGTCATACAAGTGCTAAAGGATCTCAATCAGCTGATACCAGAGGGTTTCAACTTGAAACTTTAAATCGTTACCCATAAAGAAGTTTTATCTTGGACATCGATTAGTGTCATTGTTTTTTTAACTTAGCAATCCATTAGCTCATATTTCCCCAAGGAGTAGCGTAGAAACTTAGCGTAGAAACTTAGCGTAGGTAGTTAAAACAAAATGTTAGGTGGGAAAACATGAGGGAAACAATGTGTCAATGCTGAGGAATGCTGATGCTTTCCAAATACAGTTCCGGGTTTAATAATACTTTCTTTACGTGCTTTTCAGTTTTCTCTATTTTTTTATAATATTTGTAGTCATCATTTATGCAATCTAATATTTCTCATAGAAATAACGTCAAAACCTCGTGACCGTCCCCAAGCAATACTTAATGCAAGGGAGTAACTATGGCTACGGCTTGACAGGAGCATTATTATGGAACCCTCGTGTTTTTGTGTCTTGCAGAATTACAGTTCCCTTCTCAAAATTACACATGAAGAAGTTAAACCAAATACCATAGTGACCTTATACTTAATTGTTATCTCTAAACTTTACAGAGAGGTTGCTCCACTCTCAAGGACGAGAGCTTCGCAGAGCCCTGTTCACTCTCAAGCAAATCCTTCAGTCCGACAAAGATCTTGTGCACGAATTCGTCGCGAACAAGGGCCTGGACTGTCTCATGCAAGTCGGCAACATGGCTGACCACAACTACCTGGACTATATCCTACGAGCACTCGGACAGGTAATTTTACTTCAGGACATTTTACGTAAAATCAGTTTTTCAATTTTGTTCAAAAAGTTTTGTCGACAAATACATGAATATGAAATATCAACAATTACATGCGAATAGCACAACTCTAAACTAAACTAAGTGTATTTTTTGTAAAAAACAGATTCACCGGTACCGGTACGGAAAGTTTTAATAACAAACTTTATTTGTAACGAATTTTGTTGCGAGTTATTCGTAATAGCTTGGTAGGGACAACGTCAAGAGTGTGTAAGAGTGTTTTTTTGTCTAAGAGTATCTAAGAGACTATTCAGGAGTAGGGGTCGTGTAACGGAAGTCTGTGTGTGATTCTCTTTGATAGAATGATTAAAAAAACAAAGATTGAAGTCGTGGCATGTACTGCACAAAGACGTTGTTGTCGTTGATATCCGAATATCGCATAGGATATTACCTTGCGTTAGCTTCACAGATTCTATCTAATTTCGAAGCCAATCACCTATTCCAGATTTCTTGTAACTACGGTCCGCTGGATTAGAATTAGATTATGTCCTAAATTCAAAGATTGGTCATCCATGAACTTCTATGTATGCCAAATACACGTTTAGGCGTGATTAAATAACAAACATCCCAAAATACTTTCGCGTTACCCTAGTATAATAATGCTACAATTATTTGGGTCATGTTTTCTTTAGACTTTTAATAGAAATAACAATAATAAAGTAACGTAAACAAATAATAATCAGTAGCCGATGAGCTACAATCCTGGGAAATCTTCCTCAATATTATAGTGTGTCTTCACAATATTATAGCACTAACAAAACTAAAATAGAAATGTAATGATAGTACAACGTATGTTCACACAATATGATAGAATTTATTTTCTACAAATTTAAAATATGTATAACATCCGCTTTTAGTTAATCACTTCAAGTCAGCTATCGAAAACAATATTTTACTCTATAATACAGAATAAAATATTTTGATTCACACAAAATTATTATTATCTTTTTACAGATCTTGCTCTATGTCGACGGTATGCACGGGGTGATGGGCCACCAGCGCTGTGTGCAGTGGCTCTATGCTCTCATTTCTAGCAAATTCCGTCACGTTGTCAAAACAGCTCTCAAACTTCTTCTAGTCTTTGTCGAATACACCGAACCAAACTGTATGCTCCTCATAGAAGCCATCGTGACCGTGGATAACTCGAATGCCCGGCAACCATGGTACAACATTATGAAGATCCTTCAGGACTTCGATGCATCCGACACAGAACTTCTCATTTACGCTACTACTTTGATCAATAGATGCCTAAACAATGTTCCTGATAGGGACACCTACTACGATCAAGTGGATGCCTTGCAGGATCAAGGCATAGATGATATTATACAGCTGTATATGTCAAAACAAGGAACTGATTTAGATCTATTGAGGCAATTGCAGATTTTTGAAGCTGTTTTGCTATATGAGGATGGTGACGAAACGGGAACAGCACTTAAGTAAGTTAATGTTAACACAATATTTTTTAAAAACAGATAATAGACATAAACTAATATTTTAATCAGAAATGTATTCAAAGCCTCATTAGAGCTGGTTCTCACTACCGGCGTGACATGGCAGACTGTGCTGTAGCATGCCACGGCACGCTGAAAACCCAACTACTCTGTCATGACTGCTGCACAATTTACAACCTTATTTCAACTAGCTCCTACACATCTCACAAGATGCAATGGCGTAACGTGAACTTTAAACTCGTTGATATAAGATTCAAAATAACTTGATTAGAACTTAAATTATTGACCATGCCATACCGTGCCATACCGGCAGTGAGCTCCGGCCCTAAGTCATCTGCCAATCCAATTTGTTTTCTTTTTCAGGCAATTGGATGACTCGGTAATCAACTCAATACGTCGTAGAAACATAAACTTAAATAGTGAGAGAAGAACGTCTAAAAAACAACAATGCAAAGAAAAAGGTTAGTGAAAACATGTAATACAGAGTTCTTTTTTTATTCTTTGGTGTGCTTTAATTTATTATACTCATTTTAATTATATAGTTTTCTGCATGGTATGTCAGTTCATACCTTAAATCTACTAAGACATTTTTCTCCATATTGCAACTATTAAAATATTAATTTGTTACATTTTTAGACTTGAAACCTAAAGTACTTGTTTGTTCACATAAATGTTGTTTAAAAAGCATAAATTCATTCCGTTTGCATTACGAGCGAGTTCTAGTCAAGTTTATTTAAACTTGAAAAGCAGAGCATTTTAAACAACATTCATTTAATCCAGGTGTCTTTATTTTGTGCTGTTTTTCACTAACCACAGCCAAACCAGTCATCACTCATACTGAGCCAGACAACAAATTAACGAATAATATTCGTTCATTCTTACCACCGCTCACTGACCATAATAAAGAGAACAAAGAACTTAGTTCAGCTTTAAGGAGAAGACGAGACCGTTTCGCGAGGCAAGCACATCATATCATTCAGCAACAAGAGATGTTGAATCACTCTAGTGATATCTACAATGGCTTATTCCACAACAATGGGAGCTTCACGAGCGGCAATGGCAGTTTCACAAGTTCAAATGGAAATTTTTCCACGTCCAATGGCAGTTTGACGAGTGCCAACGGTAGCTTCACAAGTCCAAACGGCAGTTTCTCAAGTCTTAATGGAAGTTTCACCAGCACTAATGGAAGTTTTTCAAGTTCGAATGTGAGTTTCCCGAGTATTATCGGGAATTATACCAACACCAATGGCAGTTGTACAAATGGGACTAATGGGACTTACACGAATGGAACTTACACCAATAATAAGAACTACTCAAATACTACCAGTAACTTGAATGGTAACAATTTGTCGAATGGAGTCAACGGGCACCACGAAGACGAAGATAAATACACAAATAGGACAACGAAGAACTTTAATCTAGCTGATGTTTTAAAGAATGGTTTGTGCTTAAACTAACACACAACTAATTTCTTTGTCACCCGCTTTGTTCTGCTTCTTTTTCGCTATTCATTTGTTTTGAAATCTTATTTTCTTATACAATATTTCTGATATTAAACTTTTATTTTTATTTTTATTAGAAAACCAAAGATACACATCTGGTCTCAAACAGAGAATCCAGAATGGGACTTTAGGACATAGTATGAATGCTGTTGACGCGATTACCGTGATGCGACAAAAACAGACAGATACGACTCCAGAAGTGAAAGACGACCGAGGAATCTTGCTGAATAGAGAACACAGTATCAAAGATTTAGCACAACGGTTGACCAGCCCTGTCAGTCCAACTACTGAGGAAAAGCCATTACGAGTTTCTGATATGGCAGGAATTGTATCGAAAGCCAAAGAAGAATTAGCTAAATCTCAATCAAAAGGTATTTTTGTTTTTACAAGGTTTTATTTTTTGTGTGATGTTTATTTACTTGAAGTGTACGGATTCAGTAATAAAAGATAATTAATGTTCTTACAGAAATAATAAAGAGCCCTACAATAGAAAAATCACCTAAAGTTCACGAAATCAAAGTATCCGAGAATGATTTGCATTGGGAAGAACTGAGAAAAGGTTGTCTACATAGAGAATTCCACTTATGCGATTTAGACTTTTCTGATCTCCGCGAAGATTCTGACGATGAGATGTCATCGCCTGCTGTGAACGCTGCTAGCGGCCCGCCACCACCGCCACCCACAATGTTTCCACCAATGGGAGTTCCTCCGCCTTTGCCAGGTTGTTTCCCTCCACTGTCTAAAAATAACGTTCCTACTCCACCAAAACCAGCTCTTTCATCAGAAATGTCAAACGACTCTGATAGCTCCACAATAAAAAAGAATAAGAAAACAGTTAAGTTGTTCTGGAGAGAAATACAAGAGAATCCAACGCCAGTCGCGATAAGGCCGAAGGTCGGGGGATTTATTTGGGACGACCTTCCTGAGGTCAGCGTTGACACTGCTATGTTGGAGCATCTATTTGAATCTAGAACTAATGATTTGATTATCAAAGTAAGTAGAGTATACACAAACTGTATGTAATATAATCTCAAGTTTTTAAGTAAAACTAACCATTACTTCTTGTTTTTTTTTCATGTACGTTTCCGGCTTCTTTTAGGAAGTAAGTACATTTTATTTTTATTATCTCTACTTTTTACTTTTAGACTCGATTTGTATTTTGTGCACTAAAATTGAGGAATAATTAATGGTGTCTGTCTTTTCATTTAATGTCATTTGAACGAATACGTATTTAATTTACAGAAATTAATGGAACCAAAGAGAAACCTTATTTTAGACGCTAAAAGATCAAATGCTATCAATATCGCAATGAAAAAATTACCAAAACCCCAAACTATTAAGGCAGCTATAATGAAAATGGATGCAACCGTTGTTGGTAGAGAAGGTATAGAAAAACTGCTGACTATGTTACCCACTGAAGAAGAAAAGATTAAAATACAGGAGGCCCAGGTAATATCATTATAACAACATTATTATGCAGAGATTTCATAAAATATTATTTCTTTACCATCGACGTCTTTGTTTTTAAATACCACACGTATGTACAACTTGTCTCTGTCCTAATGATGATGCGTGTTAGACGAGTTTTTTTTAAGGGGGAAAGTTATCAAATGACTGCTCCCGCCTGGGTGAGGCGGGAGGGAGTGTCAGACTCTTACTGACTAAAAACCACCCCGTTCCTTCTCCTGCGCGTCGAGCCGGAGCCCCGGTTACACGTTAGGTTCTCCGCGACGTGTTAGACGTTTAAGGTCCAATATATCGTCCGTACCGTACCGGTCGGTCATGGCAATCCGAGACTTCTATGAAAAGTGAATTCAATATTTGATTTATTATTAAATTTAATTTAAAACAGTTAAGTTTTTATCTCTAATTGTATTATAACATATTTTTCAGTACGCCAATCCGGATTTACCACTGGGCAGTGCTGAACAGTTCCTACTAACTCTGGCTTCTATAAACGAACTCTCATCTCGACTAAAACTTTGGGTGTTTAAATTGGATTTTGACAATTTAGAGGTAAGACTCATTTTTTTATTCTATCTCACACAAATGTTCCAGCAGCTGTTCACATTTATAACCAAATTTTTTGAGTAAAGAAACAAATAAAAAAGAAACAATAAACAATTAAGTTTTATGTTTTCATTTAGGATCGGACAAACTGGAAAAAACAGAGTGTTCCCTGTTTAGCAGAAAATCATTACTGCTATAATCCAAACTAATATCTATTTATTATAATTTCAGAAAGAAATCGCCGAACCACTGATGGACCTAAAGCAAGGTATAGAATTATTGAAGATGAATAGAACCTTCAAAGTAATTCTGTCTACGTTGAGAACCGTCGGAAACTACCTGAATGGAAACTATGCCAAAGGTTTCCGTTTGGAGTACTTATCTAAAGTTGTGGAAGTTAAAGACACCGTTCATAAACATCCCCTTCTGTACCACATCTGCGAAATGATCATTGGAAAATTCCCCGAAAGCTCTGACTTTTTTAGTGAAGTTAGTATGCTATTTTACTATATTTTTTACTTATTTCTAACCCTATAGTATGTCTAAGAGTAACTTCAAAAACTTATTTTCGTTAGGACTTAAAGCATTATTGGTCAAATTATAAATATTTCTATTCTAAGTCAACTGACTAAAATTTCCAGGTCGGTCCTGTCATCAGAGCCTCTAAAGTAGATTTCGATGTGCTCTCAGCGAATCTCCAGAAGTTGGAATCTGACTGCAAAGCATCTTGGGACCATATGAAACGCGTTGCAAAACATGATGGGTCTCAGATTTTTAAGACAAAAATAAATGAATTCCTCACAGATGCAGCGGAAAGAATCATTCTACTGTCAGTTATCAAGAAAAGGGTAATGAGCAGGTAATATGTCTGAATATTATAACAAATCAGTTTGGGTCTCAGAACCTTTTATGGAAATTAAGTGACGTCTGCTTGAAAAATGAGTAACGGATAGTGATAGTCAATAAAAGGGAAGAAACCAAACAAGCGTGACCGAAATAGGCGGGATGGTATTTAATTTTTTAATAGTCGTGTGTGAAGAAATGTTACATTTGGCACCAAAATTCTCGAAAACTATAACTACTCTTTGGGAATCTGAACTTTGGGATTAACTTATAGTTTCACCAATGAACCAAACGAATATGTTGCAACTTACAATGAAATGACAATCAAACCTTCTTAGGTACAATTAGAACAAAAGAAACAATTACTTTTCAACTTTAAAATTGTTACAGATTTAACAAATTCTTACTCTTCCTCGGAGTCCCTCCATGTGACATACCCAAGACCAAGCCTGCAGAATTTTTAAAGGTCATAGCGGAATTTTCTCTAGAGTACAGGACTACTAGGGAAAGGGTACTGCAACAGTTGGAGAAAAAGGCTAATCACAGAGAGAGAAACAAGACTAGAGGCAAAATGATTATTGATGTAAGTCAACCGGCAAATGCTTTCTTAGATACTAGACAAAATAATCAGTATTAACTATTATGTTTTTAGCTTACTCACGTACGTAACAGTTTGACAAGGAACTTGACTAGTTGCAAGCCATGCTAGAATTTAATGTCTCATAAAAGTTTTAATAATTATAAACAAAATGACATATCTATATTTTCATATATAACTTTTCGCATAGATCAATATTTCGAAAGCATAAGCTTTGTTAATGCGATACCATAGACTAATCACTATCTTGTGATCCTTTCCAACTAGAATAGGTTTAACAAATGAGGACATTATTATTTCAGGTTGGCAACTATTCTCACAAAAATGGCGACCACACTGCAGATAGTGCTTTAAAAGAACTTTTGAAAACTGATCCGGATACCGACAGTCTCACAGACGGTAGAAGAAAGAGTCAGCCCAACAGCAGAAGAATTCTAGTCAAGTAAGTAATTTTATAATGGGGATGATGACAGGGTATGAAAATTAAAAATATAATTAGTCCGTAAGTTAGGTAATGAAAAAATACACACGTATTTTTTTTTTGTCGTATAATAAAACAATACTTAGATAAAACGAATCAAAGTTTAGGAGTGGGGGCTAAAACGTCATTTCTTAGTATAAAATGTACTGAGAAGTGACGTCACGCGACATTTCAAATCAATATATCTTCGAAACTATTCGTTTCTGTGAGAAAAGAAAAAATACGTGTCTAATGTTTTTAAATAATCTACCAGACGGACATTAAAATAAAAATTAGTCGTCTACCCTATTATGTAGGAGAAAAAAAATAACTACATCGTACACGTCACTGACTTAAGCAATAAGTAAAAAATAATTGCACTTAATCTATGTACGTTCAGTAGTTGGAAGTACTTTGTACTAATGTTGAATAGGAACACATTTTTTTATGGCATAAGCCGGTAAACGAGCAGACGAATCACCTGACGGTTAACAATTGGCGTCGCCCATGGATACCTGGAACACCAAGGTGTTACAAGTGCGTTACCGACCTTTTGGGAATTTGAGGATGGTGGAGGATTCGGGAATTGAGGAGACCGGGGCGGGGGGGTAATTGGACCTCTGGTAACCGCACGCACACGATGAAACATAACAAGCGCTATTTCACGTCGGTTTTCTTTAAGACCGTGGTATCACGCCGGTCGAGCCGGCCCATTCGTGCCGAAGCATGGGTCTCTCACATTTAACCCCTTGAGTACCGTCATTATAGACACAATTAAAGAACAATAAGTTGCGGTCACCGGTGTCCTCGCGGTGTTTGACAGTTTAGAAGTCAATGTAGATAATTAATGATAAAATCTTTGAACTATTATCATTTCCAGTGGAGACTTATCAGCAGACGAAGAGATATTAGAGAGCCTTGTGAGATCAGCAACATCCAAACGCAAACCAGTCACACGAGAGCGGAGAAGGAATCGAATTTCAGACAAGAAGAACTGTAAGCTATAAAGTTGCTGTTCAACCAATTAGGCTTGGCAAATTGATCATTATTTTAGATATACACTGTTGGACTGGGAGCATGTTAAAAATCTAAGTAATTTAAACTAAGATACTAAGTACAGTACCTACAATTTTATGATATTGAAATTATATTCCAAAATTCTTTTCTTTAACATGCTCACTGGTCTATTTCCTCGACAAGCTCTGCGGCCAACGTGCTAGCAAATTCACGTTGATCACCCTACGTAGAATTAGCTAACACGTACAGGCATACTAATCTGTTAATGAATACATATTAACGCGAACGAATATCTATGCTACCCTCTATAATTATTGTCTAGGTAAATTATTTATGTATAATAATTGCTTTGCGATGCTATTATGTATTTCTCATTTAGTTTGTTACAACTTTATTCCCCAAAAATTTTGTGTCTACTCGACTGCTGTGCTTTATCAACTAGATACTTCAGGTAATTATACAAAACTTTCATTTGCAGTGAACAGGACTCTAGATGGAAATCAATCATGACGAGTGATTCTTCCCACGGTACGTACATTTAATTTTACTTTTTACACTCCAGACTTTTCTTCTATCCCATTACAACTATCTATTACGTTTTCATTCTAATTACGTAACTGCTTGACGAGGAACTTTACTAGTGTCGCGAAATGTTGCTCATGAACATGAGCCCCTAGCGTCGCTTGAAACTAGTCGAGTTCCTCGTTCAATAGTTACGTGAATAAGCTGAAAAACAGAATACCTAATTAGTTTAGTATGTCTTACAAAACTTATCATATATTAAAATTACCTCGGCAATAGCTAGATGTTTTGATAATAATGCAAAACGTTACCAATATATTTCAAACGAACACAATGTAATATAGTATCCTAATATGTTCTTCAAAGCATTTCTACAAACTTAAATTAGTTTTCTCCCTTTTGGCAGAATCTTGATACTCCGATTTTATTTGGCATAACACACATTGCATAATCTTTGTTGACCGAATATTTGTTGTAAGGCATAAAAAATATTTTGCATAACCTAATGTTAGGCAGAATTTATACATGTCTGAATTTACAACGACATTATTTTATTACGCATAATCTGCTTTGGCATATTCAATACATAATATGACAAAATAAATACGCGTAGTTTTATTCAGCACAATACTTAATTATTTAGATAGATAATAATTATTTAGTTAATCGATTTTTTATAGAATTTAATTTTTCTTGTTAATTATGAATATTAAATTAAATTAGTTTCATAAGAAGCCAATATGTTGCGCTAATACCGACAGAAAAGAATCGCCGCAAAACTGACATTTCACAGTCTTGTCTGCCCTACCCCTAGAGTGTAATTCAAGCCTGCGTAGGCGCGGAGGGGTAGCTGCCATCGTGAGCATTGAATCCATCTGCAACGATAAACCCGCCCAAATCCCGCAGCGCCGAAGTCATAACAGATACGACGCTTACTGGTAGGTATTAAATATTTCAAAAGAAGATCCTGACTGCGAATTTTCTGGAATATGATGGTTCTGCTTATTATAGCCGTAAAATATATACCTTAAGATAATTCTGACTAACAAAATATGCGATTCGAATTTATGATAAATCAGTATGTGCCAAACAACTTTCTGCGAAATGAAGATTATGCTAATAGTTGTTATGCGAAACCAAAATTATGACGTCAACATTTCTGTTTTAAAAGGTGAACCTGCTAAAATATTATAAACGTTTAGACGTTCATGATGAATATAATTAGGTGTCGAATTAATTGTGGCTCTGACTAACACATACAATTTTTGTTACAGATCAAAGAATAATCAGCTTACATAGTTGGAATTGCAATTCAAATCAGTACTCAAGATTGATTGAAGTGTCAGCTTAGTGCCTCTTAATTGAGCAGTCGCAGGTCGATTGCCAAGGAAGAGCTGAATACAGTTGGCAAAAGGCTCCCTTGTACAACATGGCACTCGTAGCATAACTAACGACACACGGGTGACTTTAGTTACACTTGTGCAAAAGCGTGAGTTATGTGAGCGAGCCTACCCATATACAATGACAAAGTTATTGAATCTCATAAAATAGCCAACCCCCCAGTGTGTACGACAAGATGGACTCAGTGCTGAGAATTGTAACCAAATTCTTTATCGTGCGAAAATATTAATGTATGAAAGTTTAATTAAATTTTTATCAACAGCACTGATTTATACTTTACAATGAAATCACAGAAAACTCATTTTTTTAAACCATCGCTCTCTTTTATAAAGAAAGTAAATTGAATATTTTCTTAATGTATTTAACTGTAGTGTCAGTTATTTTGTGGTTTTTTATTATTCCTATACTAGATTTAGTATGGGCAAGTTTAATCTGTCTGACATTACTACAATCATTGCTGTCTCATATGTGTGAAAATAAGAGAACGACGTGTCGTTCTTTAAGGTTTTCAATCATCTTTAATTACTATAAATATTGTAGCAATCTTGAATTAGTTTCTGTTATTGTACTAGGTACAGTTTGTCAATGCAAAGAGCATTTAATAAAAAGAATCACCAATCGTCGTGACTATAATCATGCTTGCTTTAGGATAGGTCCACGTTTCTTTTAACAATATAAGAAATGTGTCTTAAAACATTTTGATACACCAGTAATGAATTATCTACATAAGTCGCACCCAATGTAGTGAAGGAGAGTTTTAGCACAATTATCAAGTTTTATAGGAGATATTTCTAAGTAGTAGGACACGCGATTTTTATACCTCTAGAATTTAGCAGTTCTAAAGTAAACAGATATTATGAGTCTATCTATGATTTCGTTGTAAGGTATAAATAGAAAATGTACCTATGCACTTTAAATAATAAAATTTTTAGATACTTCCTTGAAAGTGTAATTCCGTATAAAATGCAAATGTTATAGTCCGGTCAAGGTACAATGGCAGGAACTTAGTCGTTTTATTGGGTACACAATTACAAAAACATTATAATTACGGTTCAGCTTTGAGAAAATTATGAATAATTGAAATGTGTATTTTGACCGGACTATTTTTTCACTTTTTAGTCAGTAAAGCAACAATGTTTTTCTTTTATTCACGAAATAAATCAAAGAACAATTGTTGCAACGTCCACATAAATAGGTCTTAAGGCACTGTATATAGCTACCTGCTGTTTAATAATGCAACATTTAAACCAATCACAACTGATTAATTAATTATTATTGAATGCCTTTGAAATTGTTTACAATTTATTCTTGATTTTTAGAAATGTATTTTCTATTAGTTTTAGTAGAGAAACAACGCATTTCTGTTTCTGCATTTCCCAGTAAAATGTGTTTCCATCAAATCAAATTATAAATCACTTTATTGTAGTTATGTTCACGTAGAAGGGCCCTAGTCTTTGAACGAATGTTAAGAAGGAGTGCTATTGAATATGTTAATACCCTAAACGGACTAAGCATTATATTATCGACATCAGCTTGAGTCACATTCATACCATTCATAAACATTTGTATCTAAGTGTATTTATTGTATTTTCTCATTCGTATCGCCTTACGACTTGGCATAGCCATCCATTATGCTAAATAAAATACTCTAAGAATTTAATTGGTTGATCTCGCATGTATCATTAATCTTTAATATGATTAGGTATCTTCTCTCAAATTGTGCTGTTATCGTCATCAAAATATTTGAATTGTAATCTAGATGTTATGTTAGCATGCTGTCTTGCAGTTTAAGGTAAATAAGACTTTAATGGAAGCATACGCCGAGGTCATACGTAGAACGTTATGCATTTTCTAACTGTGGTCTTAGAACTAGTTTGTTTTACGATTAAAGTAATCGTAAGGAGTACGCATTCGATGCTCTGATTGGTTGCTTCATTGCCGCCGGCCAATCAGAGTACCGAACGCGTACTCGTATACTACGAATATACTATATATACGAATACTTTATACGTAAAACAAATCCGTACTAGTTAAGACCTTTGGTCATGCAAATGTTACGCATACATGTTTCATTTGTACTGACTTGGCCACCAATTTCGTTGGTGTATTTATGTAAATAACTGATGTAAATAGCCTCTAACTATATATCTGTCTTTGTGGTTTTTGCTCTATTTAGCCAGTCGGTTTATGAATGTTATTAATTCGGAATATCTCAATGTTTAATAGATTGTGACCAGCACCTAATTCTATTTCAAGTTTTACGAATCACGTTTTGTAGTAGAAGTAAATAAAAAGTCGACCAGGTTGTTAGTGAACCATTTTTTCTTAACAATGGTCACGCAGCGCTGTTCGCTTTTTATTTACTCACGTACTTTTCGAAAGATATTTCAATGTACTAGTTCTACTGTATAAGAAGCCCCATCCAATTCGTGAAGGTGTTATGTTGTAAATTATTTACATTGATAACTAGTCTGGAGTTATACCCGATGAGATGAAGTACCAAATGATATTTTACCAATGTTTTTTCGGCATCGTAGTGCCTAAGGAAGCGCCGTTCGGATCGGATGGGGTTATTGACAAATTGTATACGTGTTTTCAAATTAATTAGTGTATACCAATTTGTAGATACAAATCTGATCGTACATCCTACATGTTTAATCGATTTATTTTATTGTAATTATTGTATTGTATTCGTTATAATATTAGACAATTTCTGATTCACTACCGTTATAGCTGCAATAAAATATTCAAAGAAATTGATGTATTTCATTATTTAATATAACATAACATCACGCCTTTTATTCCCGAAGGAGTAGGCAGAGGTGCACATTATGCCACTGTACAATGTAACAACCACTTTTCACTATTTATGTTATGAGTCCCATGTAATAGGGGGTGAGCCTATTGCCATATAATGGGCACAATTCCGGACCCCGTGCGATTACTGAGATTTTTTTTTTAACTCAGTAATATTTTACCCAACCCGGGAATCGAACCCGAGACCCCTTGCCCGGCAGTCGCACTTCTGACCACTCGGTCAACGACGCAGTCTTTTTTATTATTTATCCTTATGTAAGTTAGTAATTGGCGTTCCATAGTCTCTGTCTTGGGATGGGTCTTGCCATGGGAGACAGGCGTGAAGTTATGTAGGTATGTAAGTTAAAGCAAGTCAAATATTTTTCACAGAATTATCTCTCTTTCGTTTCAATATTCTCCGAGATCGACACCAGTGCTGCTAGACTTCTTGTTATCCCAGACTAGGTGCCGGTGGTCTGTCGTATAAAAACGCTCTAGGATTGGACTCGAACCAGAATTGATTGTGATGTTTATTCTTATTTGTATTCTAGTATTGTAACTGTTTGCTATATATTTTGTGTATCTTAATGTAATTGGTTTCAAACCATATTAACATAGTAAATAATAAAGATTAACCTATGAAGTTTCTTGCTCATTCTTCTCCATAGAAATCTACATCTTCACTTTGAATTTTTTGTTAATGTTCAAAAGTGTCTTCCTGGTCTAATTGAAATAAATGATTTTGACTTTGACTTTAAAATAAATAAATCTCTTTAACAACACTCAAATTAAGGTATATCATAACACTTTCGTAGTTTAGTTTTGTCCATTCTTTCGACTTGCCCAAACAATTATTACCAATATCTTTCTGACGTAATATTAGTTTAGCGTTACCTAAATACGACCCTGGTATTTAAGCTTTGTAGGTGGTTCTGTTTGCACACATAAATTAATGTATTGTAGTCAACAAGGCAACTAATTATTCTACCTCCCACTCCATTTATGGTTTAGTAATGCAATATTCGATTACCTACAGGTATTACCTACAAACCATTTGATATTGTACACACGGCTACACATCTAGCTATACATAACCAGTATTAACTGAACGTTAAATGTGCGGAAAGATGATGCGACGCGACACCAGGATAAACTGGTTTTGTATAGATTGATGTGTCGCCGTATGTACAAGTTACACAAGACTGTATTACCGCCGGATTTTGATTTTGGCTAATTATTTTACGTTTATGGTTTATCTTGTAGTTAGTGTCGGAATGGCTGGTTGTCGCACCTATGAAAGTATATCAAGAATGTAGCAATTATTGAAGACATGTAGCAAATTTAAGCAATTGGGTAGCAATTCTTGTATATACTTACAGAGCTACTTGCTATAGACAACCAGCCATTCTGACGCTTACTAACTTGTAACTGACAGAGCCCATCATGATATTAAGCATTCCACACGCATCGGAAAGTAGATCTACGAAAGGGGTCATATGTAGAAATCATTGATATTGACCATTGATCCAGATGCAAGTTCAGGCCAAGTTCAGTAATCCAGATACAAGGTCGATTGGACTTGAGTCCAGTAAATCACAGTAAGAGACTGCGTACAGTAAAGTAATAACAAAATAAATAACATAAACTGTCTAACTACTTCCGTAGACGCACGTAATATCTGTTAGAAAATACATTTGCATCATATCCCCTGATACAAATCTCCGAAGTTATCTGCCAATATTTATATAAAAAATAAACATGTTTAACAAAAATGCAGCAAAATCAAATATTTTGTTCATAAACTTCAAGGTTTTGAATCATTATTATTATCTTTCTGAGGATAAGGACTCACGACGCGATTTACTCCCGCGCTATAAGTACGTAAGTAGGTGTTGTTTTAAATTATTACAAGCACATAAGTAGATGTTTTTTTTAATTATAAAGGCGATACGTCATTCTTTCTTTATTCCTACAAACATAATTAAGAATCATTCGCAACCTATGATGAAATAGGATCAGTTTGCACTACAGTAAAGTAGGTAAGAAGTTATTAAATTAATAGTTTTTTGAAATATCTAACCGCAGTTTCGCGTCATCAAGTTACCCAGGGTTTTCGCCATTACAAATTAATTTAGTCTATACAAATTGATGATTAATAGCTCGAAATACCAACCGGTTTGATTTCAATAAAGTTTTATATTTGTTCTCAGACAAATACAAGTCATCTTCGAAACTTGTCGAACATCTTTGAATTGTTAACGTGAACAAGCCATAAATATTAATTAAATTCAGGCATTCATAGATGAGAATTAAATATAATAAGTTCGTCATGGTTGCATGAGCTACAGGAATGTCAGAATCTGTTTGTTTATAATTTCCATAATATTGTTATTACTGTTACACTTTCACTTCAAATGCTCAAACGTCTAGACTTTATTTTTAGTCACGCACCTATAATTTAGACATTCAGGGTTTGTGCACGTGAAGTAAGTGTATGAGTACCCTAAAGTCTATCTGTAAGTTGTTGAAATTTGATTTTCGACAGTGAACATCATATTCAATTATTTTATAGTAACTATATATATAGTGAGACATACTAAATTAACTGAAAATCACAGGTTACTCACGTGAAAAT